GACAGTAGATGACTGTAGATGACGATAGATGACAGTAGATGACTGTAGATGACACTAGATGACGGTAGATGACACTAGATGACGGTATATGACACTAGATGACAGTAGATGACACTAGACGACAGTAGATGACAGTAGATGATGGTAGATGACGGTAGATGACACTAGATGACGGTAGATGACGGTAGATGACAGTAGACGACACTAGATGACGGTAGATGACGATAGATGACAGTAGATGACTGTAGATGACACTAGATGACGGTAGATGACACTAGATGACGGTATATGACACTAGATGACGGTAGATGACACTAGATGACGGTAGATGACACTAGATGACGGTAGATGACAGATGACAGTAGATGACGATAGATGACAGTAGATGACACTAGATGACGGTAGATGACACTAGATGACACTAGATGACGGTAGATGACACTAGATGACACTAGATGACGGTAGAAGACAGTAGATGACGGTAGATGACACTAGATGACAGTAGATGACAGTAGATGACACTAGATGACGGTAGATGACGGTAGATGACAGTAGATGACGGTAGATGACGGTAGATGACAGTAGATACATACATACATACATACAAGAATTTATTTAGGCACGCTGGCCTCAACAACTCGGGGCTGATTTCCATGAGGGGCGTGATTTGGACAAATATACAGTACAGGTAAACATTAAAAATACAAAAGCAAAGAAAGAAGAATTAGATATACAGTAGGCAACAGGACGAGCCAATTTTAAGTGTTTGCCTGATTAATAGTTCTTTGAAAAGAACTTAAAGATCCCGCTACTTTTACCTCATACGGTAAATTATTCCATACTATCGCTCCGTTATATTTGAAGCATCTTTTACCAGAATCGGTATTCGGTTTAGGAAGAGACAAATCGGTTTCTCTATTTCTAAGATCATAGGTATTATCACATTCATTATTCAATCGAAAGGATGTTCTTAGATTTGGTGCTGTGTGGTTATTCAGAATTTTATACATAAAAACAGATTTTAGATAAGTTCGCCTTAGTTCTAGGTGTTTCCAACCCAGGCTTTCAAGTAAATCAACCGACCGAACATCGTAAGTCGCACTAGAAATTACTCTTGCAGCCCGATTTTGAAATTTCTGCAACCGGTCCTTGAGGCCTATTCCACAGTTGTCCCAGAGAGGGCTGCAGTAATCAAAGTAGGGCTGCACAATAGCATTGTACATCAATTTTAGTGTCGCAGACGATACGAAGGGCCTAATACGTCTTATAGCACCGATTCCCGCACTGACTTTTGAACATATCGTATCAATATGTTTTTCCCAGGTCAATTTTTCGTCAATGTTGACACCAAGGCAAGTATAATTTTCAGTCCTGGGTATTGGGACGTTATTAACAAGAATTGGGTTGCCAGATACCTTATGTTTAATATTATACGCTGATCCAATAAACATATATTTCGATTTTGTCGGATGAATTTGGAGCTTATTTTGTTGCATCCATTTTCGAATATTTTCAAGATCAAGGTTTATTTTAATAACAATGTCATCACAATCTTTAGAGGATAGATAAATTTCTGTGTCATCTGCGTAGAGGGATGGAGTTGAATATTTTAAGGAGTCAGGCATATCGTTTATGTATAATAGGAATAATAAAGGGCCCAAAATAGATCCCTGCGGTACACCACATTTTATTTTTCTCGGGCTCGATAAATGACCGTTTACCAGACATTGCTGCTCTCTATCAGATAGATAAGACTTGAACCAATTTAGTGGAATTCCTGATATACCAAAGTAGTTAAGCATCTTTTTTAATAATATTTCATGCTTTATACAATCAAAGGCCTTACGTACATCAAGGAACACGACACAATTTATTTTGCCATTATCCATATTCTCAAGAAGATCGTCACACATTTGTATCAAAGAGGACAGTGTGGAGTGTTTAGGTCGAAATCCCGATTGAAACTTGGAGAGTAAGAAATTATCAGAAACAAAGCTATAAATTTGTCTAAAAACCTCTCTTTCAAAAACTTTACTTACGATTGGCAGTATAGAAATCGGCCTATAATTTTCACATTTTAGTCTGTCGTCTGATTTATAAATTGGATTCACTCGAGCCCGTTTCCAGTCGTCAACATAAATCCCTGTTTCGAGTGATAAATTAAATATATAGGACAGTGACGGAGCTATGATATCTGCAGTTAGTTTAAGGACTTTGGGTGGAATTTTATCCAAACCAGTAGATTTGTTAGTCTTTAAACTCATTAAAGCCAACGCTACATTTTCCACATTAATTTGATGGAACTGGAATTCTGTGTTTATTTGAGTGTTAGGAATGTAACCGTTATTCATTTCCTCTTCAGAAAGTTCATGATTTACTTCAGATGCCAAATTTGGGCCTACGTTAACGAAATATTCATTAAAG